CCAACGGTAGCTACCGTGAAGCCAGTTTATCAGAACTGCCGTGCTGCTACTGTTTCTCAAACATAATGTATATATAAATCAAGGATGTACAACTTGGCTAAGTAGGATTTAAATAGCATGCCAGTAAAGTAGTAGGTGGGACCAGAACAAAAACTACATTTAATTTAATATTCTGTTGATTGAAATGAAGCATAGTTAGCCATCTACTAGACATGTTCTTCTATTGTATTAATAGTTATCATTTTAGAAACAGCTATTGGATATTTCTGGGAGTCACACGCAAGGTTTTGGGGAACCATGGCCATCAAATTGTGCATCTTTGATGTAAATGGTTTCAAGCTGCCCCAGAGGCCATTTCGAATGTTGTATAAGCGTGTTTCCCTCTCCTCTCTTAAATTTATTCCATGAAAGGTATTAAAGCAATTCAATTCTTCCTAGTGATGGTGTTTTACTATCAGCTACAGAAATACATATTGAATTTGTACTGTTTTATGGTCCTTTAATGTTTTAATTATTTATATTATTATTTATTTCTAATCCACCTAACAACAGAAAATCTCTTGGCAGATTATAACCTCCAATGTTATTAAAACAAAATAATAATAACAGTAAAAAGTCACTACTAAATGAACTGTATTTTGGACTTTACGTATATTTACCAAAGTCCATTTTTATTGGCTATCTGTAAATGCTATAAGCAGATAATGCTACCTAGCATCTAGTTGTAGCTGCTCCAGGAATGGCAATATGGGCTCAGCTTTTAGGGTGCAATGTTGGTTCACTGATGTGGCAAATTTAAGTACAGATCTTGATTTTATGCTCCTCATTTTTGCATCATATTAAAAAGTGTATATTTATCAACACAATAATTCAAAATTGTTGGACAGTCTTGAAATTGCATTCCCTTTCTTAGCGTGCAACGAACCACTGTCTACTGCTAAATGAACAGAAAGCCCTCTGTTCAGTGCCTGCTATACTTATCACTCTTCAGGGACCCTTCTTATGAACCCTCCTCCCCTTCCATTTCACTTTTAATACCAAATCCTAGAATAGGATCTCATTTCCCATTAATTAACTTCTTAGTGAAAATCATGTTGTTGAATTGATGGCACAAATACTGAGGTAGTGTCTGAAGAGTCTTAGGAAAAAAAGATTTACTTCTTTTGTTCTGACCAGAACGAATCCTGCAGATGCCCAATTCATTACATAAATCAGACCCTGGAAAAGGCTTTTGCCTCAAGGGCCAAACTAGACATAATGGCAGGAGCATGTCCTTGTGTTAAGAATATGATTCTGCCACAGTCATGTAGACCAGTGTTTTTCAAGCTTGGCAACTTCAAGATGTGTGGATTTCAACCCTAACCCAGAATTCTGGGAGTTGAAATCCACACATCTTAAAGTTGCCAAGTTTGAAAAACACTGATCAAGACAGAGCAAAGGAGAGAACGAAGAGAATGGCTTGGAGCATCTCTTGACAGCAAGAGGAATGTTGAGGTGGCGGTGGTAGTATTGGATCTGAGGTCTTAATATATTCCATTGGACCACAGCCTGGGAAAGGCTGAACTAGACAGACATCATGAGGAGGGGAAAGGGCTGTGAATTGGGGAAAGTTCTATATTCCTGATTTAGACATGCCTTTTGTTGTCATAACTTAGATCTCCACCCTGCGTCTTTATCTACAGTCTATATTTAAACACAAAGATCTACCTCAGTTATATCTAGTTTAGCCAGCATGGCATGGCATGCCAGTAATTGATCCTGGGCCAAGATACAATTCCAGCTTGAAATCTTATTTATTCTGCAACAATGCTACTGATCTGAAAGTGGGGAGAGGTCACAGCTCAAGAACAGTATATAGCTTGTATATTCAAGGTTCCTGGTTGAATGCTCAGCAGTTGTCCCTTCTGGGAAGTTAGTGGCAGGATGGGGGCAAATGAAATTACAGCTTGCCTGATTTATCTTAATTTATGACATGGCTGGCTCACACTTTGCTCTAATCCATAGTTTGTTTAGCCATGATTTATTGAATAAACTCTTGCTGAGTTCATAAAAACACCTTCTCAGCAGAATTAGCTGGAGCTATCACACTGGAGGATGCTTATGTGTTTTCCCCCTGGGTATTGTGGGGTTGGTTAGCAATGCAGGTCTGGCACTCCTCCTGGTCAAGGAAAGATGATGTAAGGGCTGGAGCCTGGGAAGGCTCTTGATGTGCGAGACAGACAGCACCTCTTCAAACTGTGTAGTTTATGCAAAAGATAAAGGCCGAACAGAACACCTGGGAAATTAAGCTGATCAAGTCTGCTGTTTTGAAAGGTGCTATTTTTAACAGGGTGGTGATTAAGCATTGAGAAAAGCCTCACAAAAGCATGAAGTTGGATTTGTGTAAGGTTCAGATCATAACAGCCCAATAACTTTCATGAGCAGTAATAGATATGAACCACACAACAGCCTATATATCGTTATTGTAAATAAAAGGAGAAAAATCCCTTTGGCTTTGTTACATTGAAAACAGATTTTTTTTGTAATTCTTTAGATCTACTGATTAGAGGTAGAGGCGTGTGTTAACTAGAAGAAGGCTTGCTTTTGTTGCTCTTTCGTTGGCTTATGATGCAACTTCCAGAGCAAAATTAGCAGGATGATGGCTCATAAACCAATTGTTTTAGGGCTCATTCACGTAACTGTGCTAAGAGGAACAATACTTGCGATAAAGAAGGGGATTTGCCACTTATCCCTTAGTAGCATGTTGGTGAAAGACCCACAGTTCAAAAGGTAAGTGTGTGTGTTTGGAATCAACCAGACAGGCCGCAGGGTTTACCATATTACTGGCAGCATCACAATCTCGTGTGGCTTCCTTTTCATGAGGGAAGTAGCCCTTCTGATAACTCAAGGGCATTATGATATCATTTCTGTATGTTGGTAGCATATTTTGGGTGCTTCATTGGTTCTGTGATACATCTTGCTCCTTCCAAACTGAGAAAAAATTCTGAAAATGTAAGAAAATTAAATTAAACCCCTCTCGGGGCACTCTTCCACATGTTTTTTATTTATATTTTTATAATGAATCTCACTGGATTTGTTATACTTGCCATGGTGGTTGGCCAGATGGAATCTCCATCGGGATAGGAGAAAGACCCAGAAACAGGACTTCATAATTATAGACCCTACATATCAGCTGAAGGTCTGTTTGAAAGGAGAGAGTCAGGGTTGGTCCAGAGATGGCCAAAGAGCTTGGAACTTTCCACTGAGGCTGATGTGTTCAAAAGTATGCTTTTTCATGAAGTGCATCATTCACTTAAGACCAAGGTAGGCAACATAGTACAGTATAATTGTGTTGGACACCTCCCGTCAGCCCTCAGCAACATACTCAATGCTTTTTTTTTATTTATTAGGGTTGCATTTCAAATTTATTGTGCTTGAGCATTTTACTTTCATATGTCATGTTATTCAGCTAGCATAACAGGATGAACAAGGAAAGGATGCAGTGCCCTACTTCACACACTGTGCTAAGTCATGATTTGTTGAGTGAGCCACAATTGACTGAGTTCACTATGCACTAGAGCATACTTTATTGCTCCCAAACCGGTGTCTGAATTGACTCACAACACTAAGCCAAACCAATAGTGATTAGGAGTGGTGGTAGTTATATCTATGAGGCATCAGATCATCAAGTCCTTGTTTTAAAAACAGTATGATCACAGCACATGACAATGACAATTAGATTAGTTGGCCTTTTCAAAAGTTTTACCCAGATCTTAGAGCAGGGATGTTGGATTCCAACACCCATTAGCTTGAGCATGACATTGCAAATGATCCTGGATGATTGCCCTTGAAATCCAAGAATAGATTTATACTGCTTTTCACATTAAAGATCTTCTCAAAGCTAATTACAAATTAATTTAAAATCCAGCTTCCAAAGGGCTGCAGTTTCTGTTCCTGTAGGTAGGTTATTTGCAACCTTTGCAGAGATAGTTAATGAAACCTCCACAAGCTGAGGCGAAATATCTTGTATAAGATACAGGGAAGAAAGAATAGCAAAATCCTCTCACTCTCGTGCCCTGTTTGTAAATGCCTATGCATAAACCAGCTGGTTCTTCCTTTAAAAAGGAAACAGTGGACTGGGCGAGCCTCAGCTTGAGCCAGCAAGGCAATTGTATTTTTGTGTTTTGCAGAATCCAGCCTGGGATGTTGTAGGCATGCCACAAGATGATGTAGTCATAAAGAACAAGAGAAGTTCATTATGAACATCAAACAGAAAGAACATCTGGGCTACATGGTAACTCTGGAACGCTATCCCAGCCCCTCCCTCTGGCCTACATCATTCTGTGTAACGCAACTGTTACTCCACTTAGGGTGGAATGTGGCCATTTTGTCTGCAAAACTGAAAAGGTCATTTTTACTTTTGTTTTTAATAATATCTACTTTGCCAACACGTCTGCAGAGACAACCTAAAAAGGCTGCCTATTTATCAGGGATTACTTGTTACTTGCTGGAGATCAACTACTTAAAACACTTCTCTCGCAACCCTTCCTGTCTTTTTAGTGTGTGGGAAACTCCCACTAAGTACTGATCAAAACAATTGCACGTGAAGTCATGTAAATTAAGGATACCAATTAAAAGTGTGTAACATATCACTTCTGCAATATGCCTGCATGATTAATTTATGGAAGTCATTATCACAAGTTCTGGCTCTTGTCTTTTAGCTTATAATATAGACACCTCCCCTTTTTTTTTCAGCAGCTCATTTTAGAATAGCTGGAGTTTTTGTCCAGCCATTTAATTTTTGCTTTGTTACTTTAGTACCTTTGTCGTAGGCGGGGGAGGACAGGGGTTGCCATGAAATTAAAGTATCCAATAAAAAGCTCACACCCTTTTCTAGATTCTTTCTGTCTGACAGGAAGCTTCCCCTCCCACCCCCTTCCTCTTTGGTCTCTAAGCGAGGCAGTGAGAAAAGCTGGTTTAGCAGATCGATTTTTAGGGAACAATTAGTAGCTTTTGCCTGCCAGTTGCCGTTTGATAATCTGGCCCTGATCTCCAAAGCTTTGATTTCCATTAGAAAAATATTACTCAAGTGCCGGGGCAAGGACAGATACTGTTGCTTGTTCCTAACTCTACCGCGGACCTCCAAAATGGAATTGATGGATTTGATTGGGTGTGGTCAACTTCTAACGACCACATGGAATAGGAGTATTTGTTCAGGTAAATTCATGGAGGAGAGACCAATTAATGGCTACTAACCACATGCCCTAAATGGAAGTGCAGGTTCTCACTGGCCGCCTGAGTAGAGAGGCTAAGGGACTGGATGCAATCTCATTCATAGTAGGGCTCCCGTTTCTGGGCTGCGAAAATCCAGACCACCACTAGATAAAAAGACACAGAAAACTGTACTGTTGGGGTATCCAACAGGTATCAATGCTCTAATACATATGACCCCTTTAATATGCCAAGGGAACTGGAGGCTAATTTTAGCAATGGAATGCTGGATTAGGTGCAATTTACCTGGCTCAATAAATTGTTTGCCAATGCTTAAAAGCATATTTCCCTATTTGATTATCACAACTGGTGTATTTCCTTCCTGACTGTAACATACTGTACTTCAGATCATCCTTACAAGAGGTATATGTGCAACCTTTCTAGATGCTTCCTGTAATGTCTGTAACTGTGTGTCATGTATGTCATCAGCTTCATTAGTCCTATTATTATTCCAAGGGATAAATGTGAAGAAAAACAAACTGGGTCTTTCAGCTTCTATATATCTAGAAGCAGTAAAAACAAAACCTTGCTGTGTATTGCTTTTTAGTGACCCTCATTATTCACTCTTCAGAGATATTTGAAGCTGCTGATGTGATTGATCATCACTGCTAAGCGTGATCCAGGTCTACTATATTTTTACAACCAGTTTTCCTTTTTATCTTAAAGTATAAATGATGATAAAGCTAAAATAAATTTATTTATTAGGTCCAGGTGTTATTGCTATCGCACAGCATTGGGTCTTAATAACTAATTGAGATTATAATTCCGAACACACTTATTTGGGCAATAATCTGTTGTAGTCAGTTTTACTTCCAGGTAAACATGTTGGACTAATTTGTGGCATTTACATTTGTAAGTTTGTTTGGATCATTGATACTACATAATGGAATACCAGTTGGCACTCTGACCAAGATTTACCTTTCCTCTAAATATTGTTTTAGCCATGTATATGTGGCCACCAGAGCTGTTGTATTCTGCTCTACAAATTCCAGCTAGATGGTATCCTTGCAGATAACATGCCAGAATGCAACTCCTGCCATCATGTACAATCCCCCTCAAATCCCCATTGTTGAGAAACTCAGAGTGGTTCTCCCCCTGGCTACTTCCCAATTTTGCTACTGAGAATCAAGCACAATCTGTTCTAGGCAACCTAACTTTTTCCACTGATAAGTTGGTTTTGAGATAGAGTTCTGAAAAATACTCATTTAGTTTTGCCTGTAAGAGAAATAATCTTATTTTCACATTCTTTGGAGACCAAGCAACAATTCCCTGTAGACAAATCCTCAAGATTTTGACCAAGTATCCCAAATTTCAAACTTTATACTCTCCAATAATAGAAAAGACACATTGATATTTACCAAACTGACTCAGGTCTATAGTTTAATGATCAAGGAAGGCCAAGTCAGCTTGAGGAATCAGAAAAGGACAGTTCCTGAGATGAAACTTTGGGTTCAAAATTCATTGTTCCTTGCCTCTTATTTTGACTCCTCTTATAGTTGCATTATGGGGGGAAATGGACATATTTATTGGGATGAGTCATACTATCACTGGGGCCCAGCGATCAGATTTAAGACACCAGACAGCTATAACATAGGAAAAAAGGAATTTATTTATAGACAAGCATAAAAAAAGGCAAGCTAGATGTAGCCAATCACATCGTTGCAAATGATGGGCTGGCGACTTCGGCAGTTCATGAGGGCAGCAAAGCTGCTACAGTCTGTAGAAAGCTCACTGATGTTGGCGTGGGACTGGTGAAAGTAGGGTAACGAAGGGCGCCCATCCAGACCAGCAGGGCAAGAGAAGCGCTTGGTGCTGTCCCGGTCCTGCTTGGTGCGCTCTGTGCGGGAGATGCCAGCCAGCCTGCGGCGAACGTTGCCCGAGAGGTTAAGCAAGAAGCCATGGGGCTTTGCCAGCCAACGCTGCAGCCAGCCCCGTTCTCCGCTCTCTTCGGGCAAGTCCATCCAGTTCTCCACTAAGTCAGCAAAGCAGTTGTCCCCCAGCACAAGGGGTTGCCGGTTACGACTCTGGGACAAGAGGGACACTGTCCAGTCACCTGCATCTGTGGGCTCACCATCCCGCCACCGCTCTAGGCAGGCATCCGAAGCTGATTTTGGCCGGGGCCTCCTGGAAGGCACCCGACGACGCAGGAAGCCCCCTGAAGAGAGCTTACTGGCTCGCAGGGGAGGGGGGCCTTCCTCGTCCCGCCAGCTGCTCCCAGATACCTCTGAGTAGCCTGAATCAAACTCCAGGCTTCGTTCACTGCTGGGTGGGGAGAAAGCAACCTCTTCTTCCACGGCCCCCTCCAAGCAACAGGCCGAATCTGCTTCTGAAATAGCCGATATTCGCGGGCTGATACAGGACTTTGAGGAAGGCAGAGCAGAGGGTAGTCTCATCTCCTGGGGATCCAGTCGCAGCTCTCGGTCATGGGCCCTCTTCAGATCGTGGAGCGTCCGCATCATGCACTGCATCTGGCCGCGCAGCACCTCACTTGACTCCTTCATGCACAGCTGTGGGGAGGAAAAGCCAGCACGCTCATTTTCTTGAAATAATCCACCCAAGAAAAGTGCCCCATTCAAATCCTTGCTGAGGGCCATGGCAATTGAAGATAGCTAGCATAGAAACCCCCAATTATATCCAGGCTGGGATCCTCAGACTGACTTAGAGTACTGTATATAGCATGAGCTTAATACCACACATCCAGAAAAAGCCATGGGTGGGTCACAGTCCAGACAAAAACACGAGGATCACTGTCTCTATAGATCTGAGCTGGTGACCTCACATGACCCAGGCCCCCTTAGGCAAAAGCATCTGCTTGACATAAACCCTTTGATGATGATCTTCGACACTGCTCCTTTCCTTCTGCACAGCATTAAAAAAGAACCACTCACACTCTACCACTCAGCTTACCTGCTCCAGATATTCAAGTGCCTAAGGAGTCCCACACATCAAGGATTTCCAAGACCAACTACATGCCAAGAATCTCCCTCCAGCTCTAGAGCCGAGACACCTTGTTAGGTGAGGGGCACCAATCTGCCTTAGCTTAGGGGTGGAGTTGGGAGCCGGAGCCGCACGCGCAAGCCCTTGCCCCGTCTCGTCTTGGCAGGTCCCCAGCCCTGAGGCAGAGCTTTTCAGCAGCATCTGCACGTTCCGAGCCCATCCCCGGCCATACAAGCAGCAGCTTGTTGTGGTGGATGAGCTGCCCCACCCGGCAGAAGATGACACAAAGGGTGTGTGAGAGTCTGCAGGAATTACACAAGCAGCCATTCAGGGAGGAGAAGGCAGGCGATAAGGCCACCGTCACTGGTGGCAAAGGGGAAGACTGGACCGGCAGCAGGCAGCGTAAGCAAAGGAGAAGTTCTTCTGGGAATTAATGAGTTTTAGGAATCCCAGCGCAAGCAAGAGGTCTCTCCATTTTTCTATTGCACAGGAGAAAAGGCAGGACATTTGCATAGGCCAGAATGACGCCAACTGGCCTTTCTTGCAAGAAATCTGAGCAGGAGGGGCACATCCCTTCTAGGTACTCTAGAAAAGACTTCAGAGGAAAGGAGACCCTGCTCTAATAGCACGGGGAGAGGGAGGCATATTACAGCTGGGCTGGCCAGTTTCCCGTAGTCAGTGGGAAGTGGTTTGTCACAAGCCCATAAACTTGCTTTTCCTACTTCTCAGTCCTGGAGTGGCAAAGGGAGAGTCAAGAGTTCAAATACCAAGATTGCAGAGTCCTAGTTTCTTATTCTTTCTCCTCCCATCCTCTCTTTGCAGGATCCCTTCCTGTTGCTTTCTAAAAGTCTTTGGGGTTCAGACCACAGATACACCAAAGGCCAGTGCTCCACCAGGCACAACATGGACACAGTTACAAGAAATGATTCATTTTAGCTGCTCTGGTGACACAGCATACAAAAATCCTCAGTGCCTGGCCCAAAATCAGAAACAAATGTTTCTTTAGGGTTATGCTTCAGTCACAATTCCAGGGCTAAACATGTCATCTTTTTTTTTTTTTAATAATTCTTATATCATTTTGTTTTGCTGCATGCTCCATAGATAGGTTGCACTTCAAACCTGGGAAAAACCCAAGCTCCTTTCCTGTCACAGCATCAGTAAAAGCCTTTTACACCACAGAAATGAGTTAGCAATTGGTGGGATTTTAAGAGAAAAACATCTCCACCCCTGCTCAGATCTAGCATTGAAGCGATTAAGAAACAAGGCAACTTCCGAATGATTCCAGCTGAGCAGCAGCTGGGGAGAAAAAGGAATTCTCCTGGTCTGACTGTCATCTCATGTGGAATATGACTTTATCCTCCCCCAAGCCTTGCATGCAGCCCTCTGAGACCAACTCAAAGGGGTCACAGAAAAACTTATTAAATACAGTGCAAATAATCATTACCAACTCTATTCAATTAAATTGAATTAAACAGGAATTAAGGAATATTGAAATCAATTTAGTTTTGTCCTGATGTGCAAGCCCCAGCATACCCAAAGGCCAAATGCAGCCCTGAGTTGAAAAATCTTCACTGAAACAAACCAAAGCTTGGACGGTTCCCAAGACCATTTCAAAGTTAGTGGGAAAGGTGGCTGCTTAGCTGGTAACAGGAGCAGAAGCCCAGAGCCTCTGGTCCCAAGTGCCCTGAAAAGGCTGACATGTGCCATGCTGCCCTGGCCCCAGATAAGCTTGGGAAAGAGAGAATGAAAGTTGGGGAAAAAAAATAAATAAGGTGACTGAGAAGCCCTGAAGCCACGTGCGCACCCTTGGCACATTCAAAGACACCAGCAGAAAACACAAGGAATTGAGCCCTGGGCTTAAAACAGGCACATGGGCCACAGCCAGCTCCAAACTGATTGGCTGCGCTCGATCTGATAATTTCATAATTAGATTATCACTAAACAAGCCACAGATGTAAAACTGGCCTCCAAACTGAGTTTAAAAAAAAGTTCTCTAAAAACATGTCTCTCCTATGGGGAGCAGCTCCAGGGAACATAGGATTTCCAAACTCAACATTAGACATTTCAACGTCTACCCTGACTTATTTATTCATAGTATGTATATGGCATTTTTCCAAAACGTCAAGCCAGCTTGTTACAAACAAACAGAACAGCGCTAGAGTGTTGTCAACTAAAACCAAATTAAGCTCTAAAAACAGCCACAAAACAGCCTCATATCCTAACATCCGAGATAGCCAGAGGGTCTGAGCCACAGCCTCGAAAGCCCAGTTGTTGGTAGGACTGTCTGTCCTCGCAGCTGTAGTGATGGCGAGACGGAGCCTGCTATCCTAGGCTTTTCTGGCATCCTGCAAGGAGAAGCAGCCCTTGTGTACATGGCTCTTGACTGGTGAAGTCTTAACAGGTAAAAAAGGCTACCCCTTGGATTGGGCCCAAAAGCCATAGGACACCCTCCCTTGCACACATGGATTAGAACAGACTTCCCCAGTTGGCCTCCAGATGTGTTGGAACTACAACTGTCAGTAATCTCAGCCAGCATTGCCTTTTTGTTTCCCAACATGAGAGCCAGTTTGGCATAGTGGTTAAGGTGCTTAAACCAGGACACTATGAGTTCTAGTCCTCCTGTTGGGTGGACTTTGGGCTGGTCACTCTCTCTTAGCTCAACCCACCTCGCAGGGTTGTTTTTGTGGGGAAAATAGGAGGTAGGAGCATTAGGTATGTTTTTCCTCCTTGAGTTGACCAAAATAAAGGTGGGATAAAACTCAAACAAATAAATGATTGGAAAGCACCAGGTTGGAGAAGTACTCATCCCTCAGACCAAGAAAATTTTAAATAAATGATTTACAAAACTAGACAACACATAGGGAAAAAAAACTTCATCAAACTCAGAGCCTTCCTGAATTATGCCATGTTGGCTGGGAATTATGGTAGATGTAGCCCAACATACCTGGAGGCACCAAGGTAGGAAGACTGCCAATGAAATTATTTTTGGACTGGCGCATGCTGGGAGATTATAGGGCCGTGCTTAGAGTTATCACAGACGCCTGTTTTCAAAAGAAAAATAATGCGGCTGCTTATTTCTCAATATGGCTCTGGCAAGGCAGCTGCTCGGCCCCTTACAGGGACCCCATTTGTGGTGACAGTAAAGAATGACAAGAATTTTGCATTGCATAGAAATACAAAGCAGAGATTGCGCTAAACTTTATGGGGGTTTTCATCGTTCATAACCACTCTCAGACTTATTTATCCAAACAGCTCCTTCCACCATGACATCACTTCCAACAGCCAAACAAAACACTTTCAGGACTTCTCATACCAAACATGTTTTTTCTTTTACATTTTCATATCCACTACAAAAAATGGAAGTGACTACTACCTTCCCTGGATGCCAGTAACTTTGGACAACTGAGGAGCTATCAGACCAATAGGATATGAAGCTGCATCATCACCATCATCATCACCATCATCATCAATTTAGATGGTACAGAACATCCAGCTTTCTGCATTATGCCTGCCCCAGTCCTCCAGGGAGGACTCAGTCTCTCCACTTCCTAGTACTGTCCATCCCAACTACTAATGATGCTGGCTAGGAATTCTGGAGCCTGTACTTGAACCCATCCAAAGGATACCAGGTTAGGAAGGTTGTTCTAAGAGGATGAACCGAAAGTGGAACAAGACTCGTATCTTTTAATTTTCTCATTAAATGCTGGGTTTCCCAAATGACGCTCAAGGCAGTTGAATATGATTAGCATAGAATCCAGGCCTGGTATCAGCCCCTGGCATCTTTAGGCAACTGCGGGAGTCCCAAGAAGCCAACTCATTCCAATTCCTAACCTGGGCATACTAGGCCTGGGGCCAGGACTTTCAGTCATCATCTTAATTTCCCAGTTCCCACAATGCCCCAGTAGAGCACTAGTCAGCAGGGGAAATGTAGTGTGGTATCTCAGAAATACTAGATGCGGTCCCCAAAAAGGCAGATGAACGTAGAAAGCAATTGACCAAATAGTTTTTAGTCCAGGAGGACCCTGGTCAGCTCAGATCTACAGATTCCTGGAGGTTCTGTAACGCTATTCTAGTCTAGCACAAGATCTATCAAATTATGTGCTGGCCATTTCTCATACAAATACTTAGAAAGCAGGGCAGTTATAGCCAATCCAGCCATCCCTTTTCAGACCGGCATCCCCAGACCATAACAATCTCTCATTCCCTCTGGCTAGGCAACATTCATAGCTTGCAGTGTCTCTACAGAGCACTAGAGGGCAAGCTCTATGTGGTGATGGACATTTCTTCATTGTACTCAGCTGGAGATGGGACAGATGAAACTTAAGGTCCTCCACAATGACTGCTCTCAGGATGTCCAACACGGGGATGCTCTACTCTGTTCTTGTCACAGCAGCTGAAGCTACTATGAAGCTGGGCAAAGCTACCAAAATAAGAGACACTTAAGCAAACGTTCTCGATGTTTATAAGGAGGGAGAGCTCCTCAGTTATAAGTGGAATTTGGCAACATAACAAATGATAATTAACCGAGATCTAATTACTGATTGTGAGGATTCAGCTTTTTGGATGCACTTTGTCACGGGAAGCAACAGAGTACAGAGGCCAGTGGGCAGGGGGAAACGGACTGCTCCTGTTCAGTGGTCCTCAGTATAGTCACACCTTTAACAGCCCGGCACTGGAACAGCCCAGGTTCCAGAAAGACCTTCGGGAACAGCCGGTGGTGAGTTCTCTCTCCGTCCAGTTCCACATCTTTTCTCCCCTGGATAGCAGCGGACCCGCCCAGCAACCCTCCCTGCGCCCAGGCCCTCTTCAGCCTTGCTGGATTCGTTCGGAACTGAGCCGAGGCCGGCCACCGCTCCCCCGTCCCAGGTTCTCTTTCGGGGGCCAAGGCCCGGTCGGAGCCGGGGGAAGCAGCATCGTCGGAGGGCGTTTCTTCCCCAGGCTGCCCGAGGCGGGGCCTATTTCTTCAAAAGCAAGCAGTATCGGGGCCGGGGGCAGGGCGCTCCTTGCCCCTTGGGGAGTCTGCATGGGATTGCAGTCAGTGGCTCTGGTCTCCCCCAGCACGGTCAGCCCTCCCAGCCCGGCCACTTCCAAGGCCCGGGGGCCCAGGTGACATCGGCACGCCGCTACCGTCAGCGACTCCGCGATCGAGGCAGAGCGCGGGGCGCCGCGGCAGCGCCGGCCTCAGCAAAAGCGAACGAGTCGGCTGACAGCTCCCCAGCCAGCCTGGGCGGAACGCGCGGGACTTCGCTCGGCTCGGGGCAGAAGACGCAAGCCTCGTCTTGCTGAGCTGCCTGGAAGACTCTGGGAGACAGCCGTTCCCAGAGAATGGAAGTCACAAGACAGGCGCTGTCGCCGGCGCTGCTTCGTCTCGACTGCGCGAGCCCCCGCTGCTGCCGCGGGATAGATCGTCTTTTAGCGAGCCCCCTCTCCCGCTCCGCGCCCTCCTCTCTCGCTCGATCAGACACGGAATGCTTGGTGTGGGCGCGCACTACCTGCCTCCCCGTGCAGTGATTCCCAGGCACTCGCCTCCGCGAACCCCGGGACTGTCTGGGGAACCCCCCGCCCCGCCCCCGATTTGCCCCCTTTGCTCCGCGAATTTACCACTTCTGCGCGGAGGTGGCCCACGAAGGCGTCGAGGCGCGCGCTGTGCATGCCAAAGCTGGGGCGCTCAGCTGCCAGCAGACGGGAACCGGCCGCGCAGCCCGGCGAGGGCGAGGAAAGAGGTCGAGGCTCCGCAGCAGGCGCTGGAAACTTTCTCCCGGTTCAGTCCCAAGCAGCGAAGCGCCCCCTTTGGTTCAGACCGAGCCCGCCCCTTCTCTGGCGCAGGAGCCAATGAGCGCCCGGGGCCTCGCCCCCTTTGCCCAACTGAGAGCCAATGAGCGGGCGAGACGGCTGTCTGAAACCCGAGCTTCCCGGACCGGTTGTAATTTAATTAAGAGCCCATATTAGGAGCCAAAAGGTCTCGCGGATGGGAAGAGGGGTCGATGCGGCAAACGGTCCACTCGGAGGTGGGACCCCCGCCGGGGCCCGGCGGAGCTCTGCGATTACGGCGGGCCGCT